TGCTTGCAGGGTTATATTGTGTAGAATATTTCTATATTTAACCCAATGCAATACCTACTTGATGGGCTGAGTACACGGTGCCTCTCTTGCTTGTGAGATCTTAATTCACTAGGAACATTAGTGTTATGCAGTGCACAACAAACTCGGGCCCGGGATTCTAAATATAAAACAGCAGTCAAAGTTGTGTACAACCAACAAGAAAATAAAGTCTTTTTATTTCAAAGTCAGATGGAAGGAAAGATATCAATAACATGTACAACATGAAAGAAATGAGTTATGTAATTTCTAAAATACAATAGTAGACGAAATAACATGTTATTTCGAAAACACAACATTGAATGTTACACTTACATGTACATTTACTATAATTTTCAGAGAGTTAGGGGGTTATAAATATACTAAATGGTGGTAAGGTATTTGTAAATTAAAAATATAAATACATACTTTTTATACCCTGATAATTTGTGCGCAACCATACAGATTATATACACTTAACTAACAAAACCAATGAAGCTATATTCTTAGTGCGTACAAGTTACATATATTGTATGAGGAAATCTTCATCCCCGTACATGGAAGTTTACCAAGAGCTATACAAGATATAATTAGCTATGAAAGTTGATATTTTCAATATAGTTATGCTTGCTGCTCAACTGATATACACAAGGCTACATATTTCAATCATATATATATACCAGACATTGACCAAAACTCAGCAAACACTTGTTGACAGGTGGCTGCAATGGTATGTATACAAACTATACACATACACCAACAATTGCATCTAACTGTATACTGGATTATTGAATAACTCAGACATGCTTCATTCACATAAACTTATACACTACTAATAAAGCATGTACAATTACCAACAGTTTGTAGCAGCATCACTGAAAAACAAATAGTCTGGATACTTTTATTCAAAACCACACGTGGAATTTGGGTTTCAAGTATAATACAGACACATGATAAATGTCACATCTTGGTCCTATCGGTGCTGTGCATAACTCGTGTATTGATCTTCCAGTGTTAAAGACAGATAAACTGATTCTAGAAACAGTGCTAGCCAGAGTAGAACTGTGCAACTTAAAATCTTATGATAAATGCACTATACAAGTCTATACAGTACACAGTGAAATAAATATTACATTAATTGCACCAATATAAATTTGTAAATTGGTCACCCTAACAAAGTAACGTCACATAATAACTTGTCATCTTACAAACTGCATAGACTTCAGATACCTGCATGATTTAACACAAGTACAAACATAATGTAAATACTAAAGGACATCATTCATTTTGGAAAACCGAGCAGATACTGAATAAACAGGTACTGAATTTCGAATCTCACAGAAAATACACTGGGCGATGAAGGCTCACATGAAAATATTACTAAATAGCTTTTTTTAATTTAGAAGTGTGCATATGCCACTCAGAGCAGATCTAGTGCAAAATAATACTCCTCCCAAAACCAAAAACTAATCACCAATATTTAACAATGCCCTCTCGAGCAGAGTGGTATATCAGTTATTTTTCCAGCCCTTGACTTTATGGCTTTGATAGATTGTATTGAGATCTGCCTTCTTTTAAATGATGACAAAACTTTGAGCAGAAAATACCAATATATGACAGAGGTGGAACACATCAAAACAAAATTGAGATACATTGCTGTGTGCAAACGCACACGTTTTAATTAGTCAGTTTTTACCTTTTTAGTTATCTCACTCTGAGTCATGCTAACTGATCAAGAAACAAAATGGCATTTTGAGACATAGTTTTTGTTTACAAGATTCTGATACTGTATCTATAAACAAGACTTGATTTTTTTTCTCTTGAAAAACGAAATTTAAGTTCATATATCAAGTTGTAAACCTATATTAAAACAATTTACATATTTGTTGCATTGTAAGCAACAATCGTTGGACAACAAAGCATGTGATACTACTATCAAATACTTTATTTTAGCTGGAATTAATTTTTGCTGAAAATAGTGTTTTGTATGGAATTTATTTTCATTGATTTTTGATGAGTTGAATGTAAAATATAGAAAAAAAAGTATATTCACTGGATTTTATATTTTTCAAGGAATCATTCCCTCAGCGAAAATTAATTCCAAGCGAAAATAAAGTATTTTAAAGTACCCTGATAGTATACAAAATGTATCTACTGAACACTAGCACCAGTTATAGTCTCAGGAGATGTAATGGATAAACATGATTGTGCAGTGTTGAGCAGGTACATTGTAATACTCCCATATCTGCTCTATTTGAAGTACATGCTGGATCATTATGACTTATTGTGACCATGTGTGTGTCATTTACATGAGCACATATGCTAATAATGGATCAAATTTGGTACATAACACACCGGTAGTATTATACCAGTAAGCCACGGCTGGTTATTGTGTCACTTGTAACCCTGAATTTCAATATTAACATTTTCAATGTCCAAGAATCAAAATACATATTTGTCACAAAAAGGGCTTGCATTTAACACTTGAAAACACACCTGAAGTGTTGTAAAGTTAGGTAAGCTCTTTAATGCCAATGGCAGATAAAAGACTTGTGTTAAAGAAAAGAAAAACAGACTTTTTAAAAAATTATGAAAGATGAAAAAACGCTTAAGATTAAAAATAAATAAATAAGCCATGCATCATGGAATTACTTGTTTGTTTTTTTAGTACTTAATTAATACACACACACAAATTCATTTTACATTCAGTGGATCAAGCTATTAGCATAGGTTAGGTGAACTGACATACCGTATTAATCTGGGTTTGGTTCAAGTCACCTTTTCACAGGCTTTCACGTGACTCATTTCAAAAGTACTATTGACCAATAGAATGCAGCTCTTCTCAAAACTCGAACAACCTGTTGCCAGGCATTAATAAATAATGCATGTTTTCAATACTTTAATCTTTGCATCTCAAGCAAAATGTACAGCAAAAAAAGGGGCTGGCAATCTTTTTATATAATTTGCCAACAAAAACGTTGTGCGAAACACATTTACCAGTAACAGAATAAATCTGGCAGATCAGCACAAGTACCAACAGTATTCTGAATGAGATTGTAAATGTTGGATTGCGAAAATGTGAAAACAATGTTCATTTTGTCAGAGTTGAACATCAATTAAAAAATATGGCAAATATGCAGTGAATGCTTTAACTAAAAATAAAACAGGAATAATTCAAGATCCGATAATTTTCATTTTAATCTCCTTTCAATCACTTTTTAGATACATGCATAAGTACCTAACTTTTAAAATTCAAAATTCACACAAAATATATTTCAATCATATATTATTATATATACCGTAATGTAATTATATTGTCCACGCATACCATACCATATCTAGCTAACCTAAAATTGAATTAGGGTACATGTGCATGCATGCATACATTGCTCAGTGACTAAGTGCTATTTTTATGTATGCAAGACAAATTGGATTTTGCATAGACATATATTGCACAGAATACAAATAATCTACATATACATGTAATGTACTCACTTTTAGGAATGACCAACATTCATGTGACAAACTGATATGTCAAATGTTATGCAGTCTGTGAAAAAAGGCTAACTGTACCTCACAGTTACAATATCACCTAAGTTCCACTAAGGATTTATTATAAGGGCATGCAACTCGTGTGATATACGATGAAGATCCCACATTTGGAATTAAATTACAAAATGATCACAAAATAATAAAACATGTACTAACAAATACTTATAGATACGAGTGAGTCTTGAAATGCTCAAATTGTTTTTTCTAGTGTCCTTACATATTTTTAGAACATGTATTACATTTATCTTTTGCCTATTCCATTACTAAGATGATCCACAATCAAGCCTTTCGAAAATAATCATAGCATTGTATGGATCTTATTTACATATCACCATATATGGATAACTATTACAGTTGCATACCCTTAGGTACTACCAGTATACCTTATAAAACCTAGGACCTGAACATCTCATTATTATGCAAAATACCCCCAGTATAGCATCCAGTATGCCAATAAATATGAATCAAACACTTTACAAATGTACATTCATGTACTTGTGATGCCAAGTTTTTCATACAAAACTAATTTGGCCTATAGTACTGCTGACTCACTGAGCCAGTAGGTTTAATATTATATAAATAAAAACATTTCAATCATAAGGGAAAATCGGTCAGTTGGCGTATACATGATAAATAAATGTGATCAATTTACTGATTTTTACTATACAGAGGCAATCATCTTGAATACAGCTTGAAACTCAATATAAAAGAGACAGTAGAGAAACAGGTTGCATACAAACACCCTATTACACAAAGGACATCTGTCATCTAACTCAGGAGCCAATCAGTAAAGGCCTTACAGTCAGCCTTACATTTTGGTTTCATAAACCCTGGAAAAGATTTTTCGTGTAATGGGTTTTTCGTATGCAAGGGATTTTTCCACACAAAAAACAATAAATTCACCAAAATGTTGTTAGCGGTTAGCTTAATGTTACATGTACCCCAATGAAATGTTTGGCTGTAAAAGTTTGTTGTTTTTGCACTGATGTGTAGGAATCTGAAAAACCCATTGCTCAACTTGTCTCAAGTCGTATTCAAGATGGCTGCCCCCAAATAGTAAATATCGATAGATTAATCAAATCTATTTTATTATCACTTGTACGCCAGCTGATGGTGGTTAAAAGTGTGTTAGTTTCTAAAAACAGACTAGTCTAAGTAATAATCAATTTCCCGAAGTCAGCACGATGGATCCAATTTATCAGTAAGTACATTCTGAGTTGGCACCCTCAGTGATGATGTTGGAATCAAAGAAGGTACCCTGTGCATGTACATGTGCGATGGCATTGTGAGACGAAAATTGAGAGGATTATATTCATAGCAGGTACAATTAAAGTACATACGAAAGCTTACATTTGTAGTAAGAAGTGTCCATAAACTGAGACAATGTATATGTGTGTGTGTGTGTAAAAAATCATGAAATGTATATTCAGTGATTATAGTTGTATGAATTGGGTCAGACAATTCTTAGATCTCAGTCTCATTTCTAGGGAAACCATGCTTTTGACTTGCCTCTGTCTCCGGGAGCCACGCCTCATCAGAGGAAGATTGATACTTGTGATATGTTCACGTATTCTACTCATGGGGGACGCCGTCGGGCTTGAAGCAATGGATGAATTGTTACTTTCAATTTCAGCTGCACCAGAATATGGCGGTTTGGTGTCACTCCTTCCAGGTGATGACACTGATATGGCGTAATCTGTCAAGCAGTTTTCACTTTGTGACTTAACAGGACTGCGTGGTGGTTCAATAGATGCCATTGATAGCACATTCAGTTGTTGGCTTGATGATTCACTGCTCACAGTTTGTGCTGTAGATGATGTAATCGACAGCGATTCATTTGTGACTTGCTCAGCTTTACCACCATTATAGTTGACATCACCATTAACACACTGAGCTGTTCCACAACCCAGTGTCCTAGTGAGTGAGTCATCAACTGAATCATCTGTTAGGACATCATCAATGATATCTTCAAGGATCTCATCAGAACTATCATGCTGACAAAAATCCCTACCATTTGGAATCAGCGGTTCTGTTGAAATACTAAATTTTATACTAGAAGCTCCTAGTAATTTAATCTCTCCCTGCTCATCCTCATCACTATCAACTGTAAAATTCACACCCTTTTTTTGCTCCTTAACATATGCTTCTTCCTCCAGCAATTCAAAGTTGATTGTTTCCGCTAAGTCCCTGCCCTCGTGGCTAACACTGATTGTCCTTTCTAATCTTTGCATTGCCTTTTCATGAAGTTTCCGTCTTATTTCATCTGACAGTTCATCACATGACAAGAAATCAATTTCTTGCAGAGAGTTATTAAAGCTGCTTTTCCTGGCTGCGATTATACCGCAACTTGGCAGCACAATATCACTATCATCAGTGTCCACTTCTTTGTCTACAAAATCCCTCAAATCATCGTCATTGGAATGTTCGCTTAGATTACACACCACATCGTCAGCAACATCATTACCATCAATCAACACACCATAGTCTTCATTATCTGATGAACTACTACTTGGGGGAAGAGAAAATGCCTCCATCTCTGTGCTGTCTTTACTTTCAGTGCTGTCTTGCGGCAACACACCCTTTTGATGCCTCATCGAGGTACTACCACCTGCTGATCTTTTCAGTTTGACCTTCCGAATAGGATTAAAACTTGATATTTTAGTTTTCACATTTTTTATATAAGCCTTCGCCTGATCTCCAGCTCTTGATACCCTTGGTGTGAATGTGCTAGCACCACTACGGTGAGAACGTGGCGGTGGTACCGGCTTTTTCTGAACCATTTCTCGAGTAAGGTTTTCTTTTATCCAAGCCGAAAGTCGGGTCTGTGAAGATATACTAATGACCTCTTCAGGGGGTTTGCTTTTCCTCCTGGCCCAAGGGAAAAAAAGGCAAATGAATATATTTTGATTAATTTAATAAAATGTTGATGGTCTAGATGGTATTATTTCAAGTCTTGAGGCACCATAATAAAATCCTGAGCATCCATGAAAGTGTTATTGAAATCGGAAAAATGATTTTTCAGATATCAGTGGAACAGACACACAGACACACATGAACACAGACAGGGTAAACCCGAAGACATGAAAAATGAGTCAGTACCACACTGCATTCTGATTGGACAATAACAGACTTGACCTCAACTCATCATGGCGGAAATCAATTTGCTTCAAGAGTTTGCACACGACAGAAAACATTTGAACGTATATGATGACAATCTTGTCTTCAACTGTTTTCCACAAACTTGTATTGTGAATGTTAAATTTTCCGATGTATGAAGTGGTGGCATGGTGACGAAAAGTTGTCATTTTAATAATTTTTTTGAGGTGTTTGAGTGACATTGGACGCCAATTTGGTTGAATAGGATAGATATACATGTATACTATCATTGATTTAAAGTTGCACTGGGAGATCATTTGTCATTTATTGGGTTCTTCGAGTTATTGTCTGAAATATCTGTCTTAATTTGCATGAATTGTTTGGAATATATACTGAACACTTGCATTTCCCATAATTCATGTTAATATAGACCATCATACATTTCACACAATAGTCCCAAACATCCCAAAGAAGCAATAGGAATGATCTCAGAGTGTAACATATGGTATGTTCCCAATCCAAAATATTTCATGATGTAATTTTGAAAACGGAGATATCTTTACCTTTCCAATTTACCATCAACAACTTTCAGCCCCAGGGAATTAGCAGCTCTGGATGTAGCAAATGCTTCAACTATGGTATGAAAGATTACTACAAAAAAAAAAAAAAAAAAAAAAAAAAAAAAAAATTCATTCATCTTAATATATCAGGACAGTAAGTTCTATAAATCCATGTCACTAAATAAGACGCAATTAGAATCTAATTGCAGGATTTTAAATTCAACAGGAAAACAAAATACAAATCTAGAGCAATCCATAGGTAAATTTACAAACCCCGAGCCTCACTGTCAGCTTTAGATGGTAGCGCCCTCAACGTGTGAAAGTAGCCAACCTCACTACCATAACAGTGATGTATTCTCAAGCATGTGAACTTTGACTTAAAAAGTGAAGGTTCAGGACCTGGAAAAGCACAAGAAAGTTAATAATGTAACTGCACTCCTAGGATAAAAGCCTATAGTGTGCTCTCAAGGAAAAGACATGCTACTTGTACTGTCCATGCAACATGTGAGATAACATATAAACATGCTATATATAGTAGTGTCATAATGGTAAATAGTCTAAAAAGAATGAAAAAAAATTCATGTACTCCAGCAGTTTCTGAAGACTGAATGAAATCAAAATATTAAATGAAAATTTGATAGTCTCATTGACAGGTTATATTCTCCATAGGAAGTGACACTAAACAGGTTCATGTCATATCCTTGTTAGCTCCTAATAGTAGAAACAGTTATTAATAATCATAACTCAACACACTACACATTTGTTAAAGAAACACATGATTATTATATGTGCGATCAATATGTTACAAAGTACATATTTTTAATAAGCATTATTTTCAGCAGATTTATTTATTTCCTGTATTATAAAGCACATCCATTCAGGAACTCACAGAAATTGTTTAAATTTTGAATGTGGCTTCACTTGGTAGAGGATAGTGATTTCAAGTGATAAATAGAAGAAAAGATAAATCATGGGAATTTCTTGATCAGCTGACTTATACTGTGTAAAGTACATGTGATATTATGATGAGGTTAGGTCAAAGTACATCTGGGTGCATGATAACAGAGCTCTTCATTCACACATGCGAATACACTTTTAGAGATGTGCTTTCAATACGAGGAATTATTGTTTTTCAATGGAATGATTAGCAAATTTCAATATAATATTATAGTTGATATATGCCCTTTTAGCAGTTTATAAATGTCATTTAAATGATTTTAATATTAAATTTTTATACTGCATTTATTAACATGGAGTATGACTTTGATGACGGAAACACTGTCTCCTTAAAATGGTGCATCAGAGCATACATGTACCTGTATAGTCAAACTGAAGTGAAGATGCAATGATAAGAAAAGAATAAAATAACATGCATCTGATAAATCCTGATGAACAGAATGATAATAGGTGTGTAGTGAATGTATGTTTAAGTAGATATGGCCTGTCAAGGTTGAATACATGTATGACAGATCTAGGAACAATTTCAGGGTAGTATTGCATTCCCAGTTCCACGTCACTGCCTTTATAAAAAGAGGACATGAATAAATGGGCACCAAAATTTAACACAATGGAGCCAAAAACAATTTATTCTCATAAAACATATGGTAACATTTGATAATAACAAAAGCAAGAATGGGTCACTAAACTCATCCTATATTATGTTCCTCACTGAGTTGGAATGAAGCTCAAACTAAAATTGTATACATGAACAATTTAATACAAATCAACCATATCTGATTACAGTTACAACGAATATAAACCTGTAAGCAAATTTAAATTTATTTTTGGTTTAACGTGGTAGCTAGCATTGCTCTTAAGAATGGTCAGTGTAAGTTTTCTCAGGCTTCAGTGAAAAAACTTAATCAATAAACTGCACATACAGTACTGATTGGGGGTGTAATCTCAAAATTGTACACAGTCCGTTTTATAGCAGGCGAGTGAACGGGGGGGGGGGGGGGGCATTTATCTATAGACTTATTATATACATGTAACCAAATAAATACACTAGGGTGCCATGGTGTTTTGTAAATCAATGGCCCCAATGATAATGGTAGAACCTGATAAAATAGTACAACAACTGAAGCCTTGCCATGTAAAATATTCAAGAGGCTGCTGCTGCTGAGTTGTTGGATTAGTGAAGTCAAATGTATGGAGGTGTTTGGTTCGATTGATGCTTCAAAACATCTCCACAGCTACAATGAATATTCATCACCTAAGACACTCCCACCAAACAAAAAGTTAACCAATTTTTCAATACCTAACAGTTGTGCAAATAAAACAATGTAAAACTAACGAGGTGAAAACTAATATTATATTCATAAAGGAATACATGCACTGAACAACCTCCAAACAATCCCCACAATATCTCATGACCTGCATTTACATTTATAAGCACAATTGTTCGACTGTGTAAAAAAACAAAAACATTTTGGATTTTAAGGGCATGTAATAAACAATATATTTCTACATACTAGTAATCTAGACAAATGACACTGTTTTAAATTATACACTGTCAAAAAATTCATATAATTACAAAGATTATTGATAAAAAAGTGACAAGAGACTGTAAATAAATAAATTTAACATTCAACATGTTGTTATTCTATAAAACAATGGGATCATAGGGGAAACTCATAAGGCTCCACCACAGGGCTGGACTGCAGAACTATAAACCAATGCACAGCACAGCACAGCACAGCACCGCACCATCCACTGAATGACCACATGTTTTACTTGTACCTGTTAGTTTGAATGAACATACATAAGGTGATATATATCAGACAGAGAAGACAAGCATGAAACATTCCAAAGGGTAAAGTGTTTAAGGAATAACAGAAGGATGGATGTTTGGATGACCAGACACACTACATAGTACATGTACTTACATATGAACAATTGCTCAAAATGAAGCTCGCTTTCCCCTGTAATGTTAAAAAGTGATGGCAAAAGACAAAATGACTTTATCAAGCATGCAATACATATATTATCATCATGCAACCATTATTAACAAAGTTATATGTGTGTGCAAAAATAACTAGCATTATTTTATTAAAAGTTTGTTAAGTATAAACCACATAAATTGGACATGCACTCAAGTAGGAAGTGAACTTAAAGAAATTCTTATCAGTCAATGCACATGCATGAGATTTTAAAATCACCATTCTCATAATGGCTGCCAAACATTTCCAGCGTGGCATTAAAATTTATGCACAAGAACTTGCTATCTACAAAGCCTTAAACACAGATGTTTCTGTTTTCTAACTAACAGCAGCACAAACAAGCTGCATTAATATATAGGGTACATACAATTATATTCATGTTGAAACAAACATTTGATATGTGTCAGAAAGGAAAGACTATTCAGCAAAATGCTTCACATACTAAGCACAAGAACTGATGGTACATAAATACATTACATATAACCGTAGCATTGGTTTTCAAGTACATGGCCTACCAGGATCTCAAGAAAACAAGCAACAGCACATATACTCATAATCAAGGCATAAGGTTGGATTCATAGATCAAACTCGGAATTAATCCTGACATCACAGATTATAACATGGATATAGTTAAGCTTTATACAACCACTAGAAATGAACGAATAAACGAACAAAACAGACAATTGCCTCTTGTATATCAGCACCTCGGATAATTTTTCAGCTTTGGCAAGAACCCTAATTTCAAGTTATTTATTACAAAAATGCTTACTTGAAGGTTTAAACCCAAATTCGTCCTTTATTTGCCCTCAACTCGCAAGTCAGCCAAAAGAAATGCACAGCTTGATTTGATACAGGAGAAGCTTGATCAAACCAAAAAAGCATGTCTCAATAGGAATAAATTATCACTTTTTTTTTTTTTTGCCGTTACTATTTGGAACTATGTAGTAAAAGAACTAAAGATTTTGCAATTTTATTAATAACATGTAATAACAAAGACATCATTCATCAATTCCAGAGTAGATCTATTAACACATGTACATGTGACAATACATAACATACAAACATTAGCGACATAGGCACTAGCTATTAATCACAGGTTGCAAGTGATACGTATTGTGATTGTCAAATCCGATACAGTGGACTTCTCAGAAACAACATGCCATACTGTAATTGATACACAAGCAGCAAATTAATGACAAAACTGATGCTCTGAAGCAAGCAACATCACAAATTACAGTACATGTATATACTGGTACACAACAAAATTTAACTATTGAATGGTATTACAGTTTCACTATGGATGAGTTTTATTTTTGCAGATTGACTACATGTATGTGTTATGATATAATCATATTGATTCTTATGTTAAACAGTTATCATAAGAACACCACAAAGTATGGGCAAAGGCAGTACGGTAATCCTATATCAACTACCACAAAGCGAGGATGTGTTTCTGTGCTGCCTGAGTGCATACTTTGCTGTCTTCTCATGATGACCTTATTAATAATACATTTTTTTCCTACTTGTAGTAATAATTGAATACCGGGTAGCAACAAAAAAAGTTTTGTACCATGCCAACATCTACGTACAGTCATTGGATTCTATTTCTGTCATGCTATAATAGTGCTTCTGCGTCCGAAGCGAAGCAAACAAAAGGACGTGTTTGAATGTGATGTCAATAATCTTCAATGCATCAATGTTGGTGACGTAGTTTACCCAAAACAAAAAAAAGATTTTGAACGTTCTAACAAGTGCAGACATGTTTTAGAATGAATGCAGATTTCATGAAACAGTAAATTTTACTGTTTTCAATGATAAATATTTATGTGACTATATATTTGAATGTGTTATTCAGTTGAACCTTTCTGTTTGTAAGTGCAGTATTAAAATCAACTTTAAGCTTGATGCAAAACTTATAAATAATAAACATCAACCCTATGTACAGATAAAATAATGTCTTTTTATTTCAATACTGCATTACCATGGTTTTGGGCTATTTTTGAGACTCATTCTTATCACATTTGTGTGACAAAATTCTTGCACACCTTTATGAACTTGCGAAAACATTGGAAGAATACTTCTATTGTCATGGCAAAGGAAGTACAATAATGGATTTCATTTGGTAAACTAGTTACTTGTTCATAAGAACAAATAAACATAATAAAATAAATGTGTAATGTTATTAATCATAAAACACAATGCACTCTCTTTTAAGCTTGCTTACCTATCTCAACCATTTCTAGGTCATCTATAGGTATTCTTTGATAGTGGGTAACCTTCTCAGCGTCATCATCGTACCTGGTAAAAAATAAACAATCAATGTAAACTCATTGACAACTTAATAGTTGATAATCGCCATAATGTACAATGCCAATGATTCCAAAGAAGGCATAAAATTGGTCAACACATATTGAAAATTACTTTAGAAGATACTGTAACAGTGAAAAGAACGTTTGAATTTGAAATAGATCAGTAGATAAAAAAATTGCAACTCTTAATGATTGCCCACGCAGACCTTCTCTAGTTTGATAAATATATTTTCAGTCAAATTTTAGGAAATTGATAATACTTTATGAGTATATTCCTTGCTATAAAAGGTCATATGTGGGAACAAAATCGGGGTCATGGAACTATTTTTTGAGATGATTACTTTAAGTAGATTACTGAGTTAATAGTTCATTCAAACTCAAAGTGGAAAATTACATTTTGTACAAATTACAAAACAACATTTGCAAAATGGAAAACACAGAATGTCAACATTAAATACATGTAGAGAATTGTCATTTTATATTTAGGTTTGTGATCCTCATTGTTTGTAAATTGAACAAATTAACAACACACAACATGCTTACTTGACACATAAACATACTGATCACTGTTCACTGCCACAAAAGACACATGAATATAACAAGAAAATAATGACAAAATGGTAACGTGCAAAAATCTTAATGTTTGCTAATACATTGTACACAACTGATGTGATTTATTAATAATAAAGAGTTGATTCAAATTGATAACTTGTTGGACATTCATGATGATATTGTCAGCAAGCCAGCATAATGTTGATCATTAAAGACATTCATATCAAAACATTGCCAGACAATGAATGGGACTCATCAATATGTTGGCACTAGATGGGATTCATCACC